GCGTTCTCTACTGGAAGTTATCTTCACCACCTCAATGTAATGGATAAATCGTTAAAAATCGTAGTAACGTTGAGAGTATGCCTTGTCTACCTGATTTATGTGTTAGTGATAGAAAAAAAAACTGTTGATGGGCACTTGCGAGACTTACAAGAAGTATTTACTCATATCCGTGAGACAAACCTCTTATCAAGTGACAAGAAAGGAGGCCACTCTTCCAACAGCGAGTTGATTTTCTTGGCCACATAGTTTCGCTCGAAGGGATTCATACTGACGAGGGAATTCCAGGCAATTCGTGAATGGCATCGATCTAGGAACAACCATGAACTCAGATGTTTTCTTGGGCTTTGTACATACATACTACGGACGATTCGTAGAAAAATTTGCTAGGGTAGCAATGCAGTTGCATAAACTTACTGAGGAAAAAGATATTTTTGATTGGACCACCGACTGTGACGTAGCTGTTGAGAGGCTAAAGGTAACTTTATATTCTAGTCCTATATTAGGCTAGCCACGGTTACATGGAAAATTTATTTTGGATACAGACTCGAGTAACACGGGGATCAGAGTTATCTTGTCGCAAATTCAAAATGAAGAAGAAAGATGGCTGGAGAAGCTACAACAGTATAATTTTGAAATGGAACATTATTCTGGTACACTGCATAACAACGCAGATGGCTCATCCAGGCTACCATGTCTAGCTTGTTGCCTATTTATTTTTTTATTTTGCAGTTGGAGAAATAGCATTTCAAAAAAACTTATTATCCATTGGAAACAACCTAAAATCAATAAACATTGGCAACACGCTATTTATAGTATTTTTAATACCTATTTAGAAGTGTACCAGTCGTTCTAGTGACAAAACCTATGTCACTTCTTGACACACAAATAAAATTAGGTTAGGAATTTCCTATTTGTACATGAAATTGACGTATTAGCAAACGACTTTCGTTTTTGTTGGTAATTTTTTGTTTCATCTGATTCGTGATTGATAAATAAGGATGGGGTTATTCTAGATAGGTATTACAAATACTATAGTATTTGTCGATCGTTTCAATAAATTTGCTAAGCATTTGCTTCCTCTCCCCCTTCAGGCGTCCCCATATACAGGGTGTCCCACGACGTTTTTCCCAGGCGATAACTTCGGAACGCGTCATCCAATGTAATTGAAATTTTGAGGAATTGAGTGACTTTTTATGCCGCTTCTACATGTATCATTCAATTTCACCACTTTCGCTTCGGTTTCAGTCAAGTGACGGCAACTTTAGAATCTTAAATGTAACCTTTGATATATTATGGCATTTTTTGTTAGAAAATTGAATTACAAAATCGGAAATGCCATATTTGTTGAGGCTTTGGTAAAGAAAATGATAAAAAAATTACACAACGTATGAGGACCTGGTAAAAGGAAGACGTGCATCTGTAGGAACGTCACAAAAGTATCGGCGCTTGACAATAATAGTTTAATGGTTTCTTCGTCAATCGTTCGTCGGCTGTCATTGTCATTGGCGGTCTCTCTCCGTCCCTCTACATTTTTTTTTCTCTCTGTAACGAAATTTGTCAAAACGTGACGCGTCTTTTAGATCACTCTCCATTCTCGTCCAAATATCAGACCGCAGCCTAAGAAGTTTCCTTTCAAAAAATCGAGTTTTCATAAGGGTTCTTTATTCTTTGAATTCTGATTTCAAAATCTTTAAACCTTGAGCAAATTGCATTGCATCTTATTAAGCTCTAAATGGCCTGTAATTTACAATATTCCCAGATTTACAGTTTTTTAGCAAATTGAGTTTGAAGTTTTTGACAAAATTTAGACTAAAAGTCAACTTTAAGGGTTAATTGCTATCAAACTCAATTTTACACAGATTTATAGAGAATTTAATGCTCATTCCAATGATATATAATTTATTTCAATTTGATCGAAATTTAACAAAGATATGGGCAAATTAGGCATAATTCCATTTAAATTATAAGAAATTATATTGGAATTATATGAAGTTTGATAGAAACTATGCGAAAATATATTGTAATTTCTTTTGGAACTTCCAGGTATGACATGGAATTCCATTTCATTTCAATAATAGTTATTTATGTATCAAGGGTACTAAGTAGATGATTATGCCCTGAAGGCGACAATCTTACAAAGCCGAGGGCCTCTGGCCCGAGGGTATATATATCTATTAGTAGGTACCCGTGGTGCATACAAACTTTTATGTCATACCAGTTGGTTGTGAATAAATACCTGGGAAGAAAGTGTCACTTCGCAAATTGTCATCAGACTCATCAGTGTGCAAACATCATCATTTTTTGACAAAAATAATATGTTTATAAGCGTAAATTTATATTTTGTTAATAAAGAATAAGTTAATTGAAAACTGTTTTTTGCGTCTTTATGCCCGCGCGGGCCATAATGTGTACTTTATGCCCGCACGGGCATAAAGTAATGAATTATGTAGATGGTATCTAAGGTATAAAAACACAATAATGTATTGGTATGACATAAAATATCTAAGAAATGACGACAAATTTCAAAAAAAAAAAAATAATTTGCAAAATTATATAGAAATTATGCGGAATTCCATTGAAACTACATAGAATTTCAAATAGGTATGTTAAATTCTATCAAAATTATGCGGAATTCAAGTGAAATCAAAGAAGTAATGGCGTGGAATTCCAAAGAAAAAATAATTAATTTTAGAAAAATTACATGGAATTCTATAGGAATTTTGCAAAATTCTATAGAAATTATGCGAAAATTTATAGAAATTATGCGAAATTTCAGTAAAATTAAATGGACATAAATGAAATTCCGTAAAAAATATGCAAAATTTTATTGAAATTATGCTGAATTCCATAGAAAAAAAAAACGTTTAATTTTTAAAAAACTTATGTGGATTCAAGTTGTATGGAATTCCATAAAAATTATGCGAAATTTTATAGGAACTATGCAAAAGTCCAAAGAATTTCTGCAGAATTCTATAGAAAATATGCAATATTTTATAAAAAGTATGCAAACTTCTACTGAAATTATGCGGAATTACGTGGAATTTATGCGGAATTTCATAAAAATTTTGTGCAATTAAATAAAATTCCAGTAAAATTTAATGAAATTCCCGGGATACGACATAGGACTCCAAACAAAAATATGTGGAATTTCTGTAGAATTCCGGTAAAATTATGAAATTCCGATGAAATTCCAATAATTTTCCTGGAGCTCTAAGTAACTTTTCCAAAATTTTAAATTATTCTAGTGAAATTCAAAAAAAAAAAAATTATATTATTTAAAATTCCTGTGAATTTCCGAGGCATTCCTGTGAAATTTCTTGCAATTACAGAAAATTTCCTTGAAACTTGCAATTACAGAAAATTTCCTTGAAATTACATGGATTTTGAGTAGAATTTCAGAGCATTTTTATGGAATTACGAGGAGCTCTGGTGTATAATTTTAGTTAAAAAAATTTACTAAAAAAAATAATTTTTCCAGTACATTTCAGAGACTTTGACACCGTCGTTACGGAAATTATTCGTGATTTCAGTGGAATTACGTGGAATTCCGATGAAATTCCATTAATTTTCCTGGAATTCTAGAAAATTCCTGTAAAAATTACATAAAATTCTCTTGAAATTTTAAATAGTTCTTGTGAGATTATTTGGAAGTTCAGTGAAATTCCGGTAAAATTATGTGGAATTTCGAAAAAATTCCAATGAAAATCCATCTATTTTTCGGAAATTCCACGTAATTCTCCCGCAGGCTTATTCTCTAACGAACAGCAATTACATAGCAACTAGCAACCGGTCACCAGTTGCTTTTTTTGAATAGAAAACATATAGAAAACACACGTTTGACAACGATTTGACAGCGACGATTGCGCAATTCTCTGCGGTCGCAAGTTACAGAATAAGGCTGCCGGAATTCCAAGTTATTCTCGAAAAATTCCGAAATATTCCTGTAAAAATTACATAAAATTATCATGCAACTTTAAAAAAATTCTTGTGAAATTATTTAGAGTTATAGTGGAATTACGGGGGATTCCGGTAAAATTATGTGATACTGCGAAAGAATTACGACGAAATTTTCCGACTATTCGGCTCAATACCTCCGGAATTTTAAGTTATTCTCGTGAAATTCCAGAAAATTCCCATGAAATTGCAAAATATTTACGTAAAGTTACGTGGAATTTTTGCTAAATTTCAAAAAAAAATCCTGTAGAATTACATGGAATCCTTGTAAAATTCCAAAAAAAAAAAAAAACCTTAGAGTTACTTTTAATTTCAGTGGAATTTTGAAGAATTTCTATGGTATCGTTTGATGGAATTCTCGTAAAAATCGCAAAAATTTCCGTAAATTACATAAAATTCTTGTGAAATTACTTAATTTTTTTTTTGAATTCCCAAGAATTCTCGTAAAATTACATGGAATTCCCGAAGAATAACTCAAAATCTAAGTGAAATTCTGAAATAATATGAAATTATCGTGGAATTCCGAAATGTTCTTGTGAAATTACTTAAAATTTAGCAATATTTCTGTAGAGTTAAACGGAATTTTAGTGGAATTTAAAAAAAAAAATGTGAAATTCCAGAAAATTTCTTCAAATTTGCTTGGAATTACCGTGAAAAAAAAAACTCTTCCTGAGGAATAACTAGAAATTCCATAAAATTTCCATAAGATAATGTGCCTACTTGAAATTTCATTGACATTCCGGAAAAATCCTGTAAAATTACCTATTTGAAATTTCAAAAAATCCTTCTGAAATAAAATTACTTAAATTTCTCCTGAAATTATTTGGAATTCTAGCAAAGTTTGAAGAAATCTCTGTGAAATAAATCAAAATTCTCGTGAAATTCTAAAAAATTCACAAGGAAGTACTTAAAAAATCGTATAAATAATTATGAAATTCAAAAAAAAAATCGTGAAATTATTTTTTAAATTTCAGCAAAAATTCCAAAGAATTATAATTTTTATAAAATAACTCAGAATTTCAGTGGAATTCCAAATTACGTGAAATGTCCTCTTGAAATACTCATGAACTATCAAAAAGTAATTTGTGAAATTACATGGAATCGAAAAAAATTCTTGTGAAAATACAGAAAATTTATTTGAAACCAATTGAATTTTCAGTTGAATTGGGAAGAATTTTTAGGGAATTCTGGTGTGCAATTTATGAACATTCTTTGAACATTCCTGGAAAATTCTATAATAAAAATATCAGTGGAATCCTTATAAATTCTTGTAAAATTACACGAAATTCTCATGAAATAGAAAATTCCTATGTACCTACATTCCTGAAACCTTCTAGGAACATTCCCGAAACATTCTATAAGCATTCCCCGAATATTCTTAAAAATTTTCCAAGAAAAAAACATGTTGAAACATTCCTGAAACATTCTATAAACATTCTTGGAACATTTTATAAACATTTCTAAAATAGACGAATTTGATGGGACATTCTACGAACATTCCTGGAAGGGTACCCCCATTGAATTCTAATTTCAGAATATTCTAACCTCTATTGCTCGGTAACCGTTGAGTAAACTGCATTCAAATTCTTAGCATTTGTAGCTCTTATTAACCTCTAAATGGCCTGTTATTTACAATATTTTCAGATTTATAGGCTTTGAGCAAATTGAGATTGAAGTTTTTGAAAAAAATTGGACTAGAAGTCAAATTTGAGCTTCAATTTGAAGTAGGCGGCGATCTGATAATTGGACGAGAATGGAGAGTGATTTGAAAGACGCGTCACGTTTTGGGAAGTTTCGTTACACGAGAGGAAGAAAGATATAACGTAGAGAGATGGAAAAAAACAGCTAATGATAATGACAGCCGACGAACGATTGACACAGACAAGCAAGGAGGGTTGTCTATTATTGTCAAGCGCCGATACTTTTATGACGTCACTAGCTCGGCTTTGTCACACAAAAAGCCAAGCGTTTCCACTAAGCCAGGCTTTATGAACAACGGAGAATATGGCCCTAAGATTTTCATATTTCAACCAGTAATTATTTTTTGTATACATATATTGAGATCCGCATGGTATCTTTATTAAACTTTAAAATTGTCGACTTTTTTGCGTTTTAACCTAAATCAAACATTTAGGCAATCGCTATGAGGCAGATATTGAACTTAGGTACTTTATATTTTATTTGACTCCTATTGATTGATTATTATTTTATACTGTATTAAATCTAGGTTACAAGGCACCTGAGTAGAAACGATTATTCTGATTCCAATTAATCATTGTTTCAATTTAGTTCAGTTCAGACGATGAAAATATAAAAGCAAATAATACTTCAGGAACAATTTGCTATTATTAAATCAAATGATGCTCGATTCTCTCGGAAAACCTCCACCAGGTTCAGTTTCACGCAAATCCTACAGTAATAAAATCTATTTCGCAGTCTATAAGAGTCCTTCGCTAACATCGCTTCGATTAAAAAGCATTTTGATAGCTCTCACGTGACTGTGATAGGGCAGCAGGTGACGCAGCCAGTTTCAGGTGTCCTCAGTGGGTTCGGGTTCTCGCTCTTCAGTATCGAGCTTAAGGCACTCTTCGAAAAAATTTTGCATCGAGCTGTAGACGTGATCGAGGACTCCAACTAGTTCGTGGCCCTCGTCTGAATAGCTCTGAAAATGTAAGCATTGAAAAAACATGATCTTTACATTCATTAAAATTATATACTTGATATCGAAAAAGCACATTATTGGCTGTTAGGGCTCTTGATAGAAGCACGCTATGCTCGTAAGGAGCTGTAAGATCAGCCATTCCGTGAAGTAAAAAGAAGGATTTTCGAGGAATATTTTTGGCTCGTTGAGTCGCATCAGCCTCAACATAGCCTTTATAGTTTTCTGTTGGCAAGCCAAGTATACGCTCCGTGAATACTGAATCTAGAAAAAGAAAAAAAAATTGCCAACTAGATTCATTATTTGTTTAAACTAACTTACTATAATACAACCAATCAGTAATAGGATTAACAGCTATGCCACATTTAAATACATTTTGTTGATTGCCCATGCCTAGGACCATTGAAGTAACGTAACCGCCATAGCCCCAGCCCCATATGCCTATTCTCGTTTTATCCAAGTATTTGTTGTATTTATGATCTTTATTTACTAAATAATCTATCACTGAAATTTGATCTTGTACCTGAAAATTATTTTTTTGTTTATTCAAATTAATGCGTATGTAAACGAAATTACCTCAACGCCGCCCAGCTGACGGTATAAAGCTCTATTTGTTTGTCCTCTTGATCCTCTCACATCTAACTTAACATAAACAACATCACAATGGCTTGACATAAAAGTCGCCCAGTCTATGACGAATTCTTCTGTAACTGCTTTACTACCTGGCCTACCATTTCTAAAATTAACACATATACAATAAGTAGGCAATGTTACACTTTTAATCGTAGAGTCATACTTACACTTCAACAACAACAGGATATGCTGCATCTCTCAGCTCCTCCCTCCATGATGGAGGCAGCAGAATTTGTACTTGCGCGAGATTTCCTTGAGGCAGAGGGATCTAAACAGAAATATATAATCTTGAGTCTTAAGATCGATGTCCATCTGAGCATTACTAAGCATTTGGCTGCCTCTTAATGTCTCAACGAGTTCAGCTTTAGCAGAAAATTTGTTCATCACCTATAGATGGTGACAAACCAGACAAACACAGGAGTTAAGCAAGGTTGTAAAAAAAGTAGAGCGAGATATAGTAACAGTGAGATAATCGAAACAATGGGACAATAGGTAACAATCATATTTCTCAAAGTATTTTTTTCTTATTGCTTATATTTCCAAATATAAAATGTATATGTTTTTTTTTTTTTGTTTTATGTCAATCACTCAATTTCAACTTATTTTCGTTGGCGCGAAAACGATTAGCTTCGAGATGGTGGAACTTGTGACGTCAACTGTCTGTAAACACAAAGTTAAGGTCTGTTCTCACAAGAGCCTCTGACACTTTGCAAATTGTCAGGAAAAATCGTTTAGCTTGAACCTTAGATTAGCTTAAACGGCTTAAACATTCGACTGCATTGAAAGCGATTATTATGTGGTGTTTCCGTATTTAGTGCCATATTGTGACATTTTGTGTTTCAAATAAACTGCTCGCCAAAAAAAAACGGGACAAGCAATTTTTAGCACCAAATTCAATCTGTAATAACTTTTTTATTTTATTTTTGTTTTTAATGCGGTTTTTGGTATTCGATAGTCCATGTTGTAGACCACGTGAGACAAGAATATTTTTTTCGAAGTAATGCATTTTTGAAGTTATACAGGGTGAATAATAAATTGATGCAAAAATACAAAAAGTATGGATGTCTGCCATATAGACAATAATTTTTTTTTCGGATTTCTGTATAGTAAGTTGACATCAATATCTCCAGACGTTTTTGTCAGTTTTTTGATAAGTGCCCTTTGGCAGCAGATACAATATTAAACAACAAACTTGACAAAATCTTGTAAGCACAATATTTAAAGGGCTGTATCTTGAAAACGGTTGTATTGATTTCGAACATCTTTGCAGGTTTTGAAAGCCCATTTTTTTTAGAGGTGCCACGACTCGCTTGCTTTTTTTGCAGATGGCCCTGTTTACATTATACAGGGGTCGAGGAAAAAATATACCTCAAATTAGGCAAATTATGATAATTGTTCTTTCAACTCTATAGAAATTGATCTGTGTGCCTTTTGTTTTCTTTGAAAATTGGTTAGGTGATACTCTGGGCCAATATCTCGGAACACTTTTTCCATTTTTTGCATAAGAGTTTCCTGAAGAGCCATTTTAGCACCACAATGTTGGAACGATGTGGCTTACGGTTTATTGGATTGTGAAACGTTTTCCCACAATGGAAGCTCATTTTATGGCAATTAATCGGCTATTTTTGTAAATTTAAATTTTCTCATTATACAGGGGTTGCACAAAAGTAAGAGTGAGTTTCCTAAACATTCTCAAGCTGCTTTGGCTTGAGAACGATTTTGAAAGCTTATTTTATGGAAGTTAACTCTCTTATTTTTTCTAATGAAAAACTTTGCATTATACATTCGGCTATTTTTGGAAAATAAAATGTTCTCATTATACAGGGGTTGCGTAAAAGTAAACCTGAGTTTGACAAAAATTCTCAAACGGCTGTAGCGTGAAAACAATTTTGGAAGATGATTTTATGGGAGTTAACTCTCTTATTTTTTCAATAAAAAACTTAGCATTATACGGGGACTACCGAAAAGTAGACTTAAGTTTGCAACAAATGCTTGAATGGCTGTAACTTACGAAAACAATGCTATTCAATTACCAACAATATAAGAATACTAGCGTATCTGTAGCCAAAGAGCACTGATCAACAAAGTAAAATCACTTTTTCGACGTCCAATTCGCATAATTTCAAAACTACCAGTACTAACCATTTTTGGGCAATTTTAATTTTGTTTTTATGCTGAATCTGTGTATAATAAAAGGGTACCTATGTTATGCAAAAAAAAGTCACGCCAGGTCGTGAAAAATGAGACAAACTGATGAGTTTCCAAAAGCGTTCTCAAGTTACAGCCGTTCAAGCATTTTTTGCAAAATTAAGTTTATTTTTCGGTAATCCCTGTATAATGCGAAGATTTTCATTAGAAAAATAAGAGAGTTAACTTCCATAAAATGATCTTCCAAAATTGTTTTCACGCTACAGCCGTTTGAGAATTTTTGTCAAACTCAGGTTTACTTTGATGGTTGAACCCCTGTATAATGAGAACATTTCAATTTCCAAAAATAGCCAAATAATTCTCCCTGTATGATGCAAAGTTTTCCATTAAAAAAATAAGAGAGTTAACTTCCATAAAATAAGCTCCCAAAATCGTTCTCAAGCTAAAGCCGTTTGAGAATGTTCAGGAAACTCACTCTTACTTTTGTGCAACCCCTGTATAATGAGAAAATTTAAATTCCCAAAAATAGCCGATTAATTGTCATAAAATGAGCTTCCATTGTGGGAAAACGTTTCACAATCCAATAAATCGTGAGCCACATCGTTCCAACATTGTGGTGCTAAAATGGCTCTTCAGGAAACTCTTATGCAAAAAATGGAAAAAGTGTTCCGAGATATTGGCCCAGAGTATCACCTAACCAATTTTCAAAGAAAACAAAAGGCACACAGATCAATTTCTATAGAGTTGAAAGAACAATTATCATAATTTGCCTAATTTGAGGTGTATTTTTTCCTGGACCCCTGTATAATGTAAACAGGACCACCTCCAAAAAAGCAAGCGAGTCGTGGCACCTCTAAAAAAAAATGGGCTTTCAAAACCTGCAAAGATGTTCGAAATCAATACAACCGTTTTCAAGATACAGCCCTTTAAACATTGTGCTCACAAGATTTTGTCAACTTTGTTGTTTAATATTGTATCTGCTGCCAAAGGGCACTTATCAAAAAACTGGCAAAAACGTCTGGAGATATTGATGTCAACTTACTAAAGGCCTATACAGAAATCCGAAAAAAAATTTATTGTCAATATGGCAGACATCCATACTTTTTGTATTTTTGCATCAATCTATTATTCACCCTGTATAACTTCAAAAATGCATTTCTCCGAAAAAAATATTCTTGTCCCACGTGGTCTACAATATGGACTATCGAATACCACAAACCGCATTAAAAACAAAAATAAAATAAAAAAGTTATTACAAATTGAATATAGTGCTAAAAATTGCTTGTCCCCTTTTTTTTGGCGAGCAGTTTAGTTTATCATGGTTGATACAGGATTTAGGAAAGTGCAGTCTGACAATCTACCCTCTATAGACCCGTTTATGGTGGTTAAATATCAGTTGTGGCGTGACGTGAGCTGATCGTGAACCAATCGTTCCACGACTCAAGAGTGAACCACGAAAGTGTGGACCATGGATTTACGATCAGTGTAAACTACCCTTAACCTAATTTACGAACAGTTGACGTCACTGGAAGCGGCGATGTTAAACGTAACTTTTTCGCGCGAAACTTTTCAATTCAAAATTAATAATTGCCGTATGACTATAATATCCATAAATTTTATACAAAACTGCTCATATTATTCAATATTTTACAGAAAAATGTGCACCATAAAACAAAAAGCCATATTTATTTCTCATGAGAATTCCCTATTATTGTATTATATCTGAGCGTACTTAAAATAATTTCGTATTGCCCTCCCAACCTGGAAAAAATGTCTACAATTTAGATTGCCAATGGAAATTTAGATCAGCTAGTGTCATTCAATGCCGGTAGGGGTATTTGCTCCCAGAGTACCTATCTAGTTAGGTACCTACCTATTTCAAGATGGTCAACAAAAATTTAATCTCCGGTTAAATTCAAAGTTGGTGTCAAATGATAGTTTATGAAAATCAAAGATAAGATTGTGGGAACGGTTTTCTTCGAAAATTAACTGTTTAGGTTTTACAGCCTGTCAAAGTAGCAAAAAAGTCAATTTCCAACTGTCAATATTTCCAAAACAGTTGAATTTAGGAATTAAAATGTATGAAATTAAAAACCCTCCAAAATGATGTATCACTGACCCTCGAGGTGAATTTTGCATAAAAACTCGTCCCCCTCAAATTAAAGTTAACGTGTTGCAGGAATTTTTTCGAGAATTTCATACATCTGTCAAGACTGACATTCCAACAATAAACTGACATGTTTTGATTGTTGATTTGAACCAATCAGATTGGAATTACGCGATAATTTGCACTAGTGCAAATTATCAGATAATTGCATAGTAACTGGTGCGATAATTGGTGTTTTGACATTTTTTGACAAAAAATTTAAATTTTTGATTTATGCATTGGGGTAGTATACTATGTATGGAAATCAGTAAAAAAACTGCTCGACATTATTGTATAAGCTAAATAGTGATGGTATAGTGGGATACTAAATTATTTTCCAGCATAGTATCTATAGAATTAGTCAGAGAAAAATAAACTGTATTTAGCGCCACAGCGGCGACCAATAGTATTCAAGCCGCTGACCATCTGGCAACGCTGCTCAAAATGCCTCAAAATGACAGCTGACTTCAACAGTTCAACGACGTGTGGTGTCGTGTGAATCGTGTGACATATGACATTGGTCACAGTAACTTGTTTACGTTGTTTGATGTAGTAAATTTGACGTTTGGTTATTGACGGCCAATGTCAGTGCAAATTGGGCGTTCTCAAAACCGTGATATGTTGTCAGATTGGAAAAACAAACTACGTCACGAACTTTTATTTATATACCTCTGCAACAATATTAATTTTCCAACAGTCATAGCGTTGAACAGGTGAATTTACTCCAGAATAAAGACGACAGAAAAATCAAATTTTTTTTTTGCAACAATGGCTGGTATAATTACTTTTACATACAAGATAAACTCAAAAACGGATTTGTGACGTAGGTATCTCTAATTAAAACACGAAGTATAAAGCTCAAAGTTTTCAATATTTCTTAACAGTAGGTTGCTACCAGTGATAAAAATCGCTCTAGAAATGAATTCTGTGGGGAGCAAGGTGTCACAAGCTAAATTGTTAATGTATTAAAAACT